CAACAACAACAACAACAACAACAACAACAACAACAACAACAACAACAGCAACAGCAACAGCAACAGCAACAGCAACAGCAACAACAACCAAAAAAAACAACAAACAAACAAACGTGATCTTCAGGGTTTGTGCATTGTGATATGTCACCACACAATTAGCAAGTAGTACAGAACCTGTTTCAGGGTATTAAATGGATTGAGAAGAACGTGTTCATGCGACTTGTTGGGCGCAGTACCGTGATATCTTGATTCTGCTTCATGTTCTGTCTACATACAGACTTGATTATTAAATATCACTATACAATAATTATACATGATTCCATGATACCTACAACATCTACAATCCAACCCACTAGGATGCAGCTCCAGATCCTTCCCAGCACGCGATCTCTGCTCCCTTCAAACTCTCAACCCAGCGAGATTCATGTGGTTTCACCCAAGGCACCGGTAGATTCTGATAGCCCCTGAGGTGGTTTGTGTTTCAAAGGAACGATCCAGCGATGTCCCAACGATCCGCCTGGGGTGCTCCGTCAATGAATGCCTGACGATGCCGATGCCAAACCAGGTCGCCAGGTGAGATTCTTCATTCGTTATGTCAAGACTCTGTATAGCCTGCCTAGCTGTGACTTATAAAGCTATTGCTTTAAACATCAACCATGAGATAAGGGGACATTCATGGACATTCAATGGTTGGTATCAACCTACCGTTCTAAGTTCTATGTTACGCGGCCGTGAGTTAGACTGGGCAGGCTAAATGATTCGTTTCGGACATGGCTTTCCACCCTGTTCTCCTGGCCTCAAAACAGTTCTCAAGTTCTCAAGGGATCCGCAGCAAAATATATACACTTGACACGTCTTGCCAAATGAAAAAGCTCGAGGTTGATCCATCAACATATTCTCCTGCCCAACACTCCCCAGAACCACCGGGCACTTCCTGCGCCTGCCCCCCGCCGGCCCCCGGTGCCGGCTGGAAGACCGCGAACGTTCCCGGGCGAACGTGGCCCGCTGGGGCTCCCCGCAACAGCAAACTTGTGCCTGAGAGCCCCCGGCACGTAGCAGCAGCGTGGGGACTATTTTTTCTCCAAGAAGCATTCGGACATTGACGCCAGGAAGGACGAGGTTCCTCTTCAAAAAGGGGGGTTGTCCACTTCCATGGTTGTTGGAGGTTGGAGATGGAAGGAAGATCATAGACCCTTCTCGTGGTTGGATCTTTGCAGATCACCGAAATAATAGGGGGTCATCAAAGAGCCCAACTGTGCCCAGAGCTTTATCAAGCCTTCTGATATACCATGATATACCATTACTCGCACACACAGGTGTAGGACGGTGTACATCCGGCTACTCTGCCAGCAAAAAGGCGCTCCTCTGGGCATCTTCTGCCCCGCCGGCCACATCTTCTCCAAACCCACCCACCGTTTCACTGGGTCATCGCCACCGTTTCGGTGCCCATCTTCTTGCTGGACTTGATCGCGATCCTGGGCTGGATGGACCGGGCGATGGGTATTCCTGATCCATTCGTCAACCAACCAAGACCCTAACTCAGCCCATCTATCGGCCCCATCATGTCCCATCTGCTTCTTCAGCAGGTGCTAGGATGCGTAATAAATATTGGGAGAGTGATTGGTCGATCATGTAGACATTCATAACCTCCCCCCATATGGATTGTAACACCTATACAGTACATTAGAATTTGACATTCCACGGACCCTTGAGATTTGTACAATTCAGGTCAAATAAGGTTGGAATTGTGAAGCGCATATATTTGAGTGTTGATGCCTTTTCACAAATGAAAACATCTCCAGTGCGGCACCACTTCCAGCTCCTTCCCCCATCTTCCCTTTGCAAGCCTGGGAGCGCGCAACCAAACCAAACAACCCTCCACGCCGCAAAAACCCTTTCCACGCGCCTTTGCGTGCGAGGAACAAACAAACACAAACACATCATCTTTCGCGCCAGGACACGTTTTCTCATTGTGGGGCGACTCAGAGAGTCGATGATCAATGAGCTGCGCCGCCATCTCCTTG